AAGGAAGGAAGGAAGGAAGGAAGGAAGGAAGGAAGGAAGGAAGGAAGGAAGCAAGCAAGGAATGAAGGAAGGAAGGGAAAAACAATTAACCTGTTTACCCTAAAGTGGTTTTCATATGTCAATCTAGTATACGACATTCACCATGGTGATGACCAAGCTGACTCTCCTGCAGCACAAACCATGAGTAATGAACCAGAAAGAGCAGAACAGACAGTACCTCCACCAGCCTACTCACCGGCACCAACATGACAGAACTGTTCTCCTCAACATGTGCAGTTTCCTCCTCATCAAGGGTATGCTCCTGGTTACCAACCACAACCAGCTGCTGCTTCTCAGGGATATACCACTGGCTACCAACAGTTTGATAATATGCCTCAGACCACTTCGACGACAACGGCTGTCGTACCTGGACAGGTAACCAGAGGCATTTTCAAATTCTTACGATAGAGATTTTGCATCATCACTTGTCGGCGCCATAATCCAGCTTGGACTGCCTGTGGTTAGATGGCAGAATGGAATTGAATTTTTCTCATTTAAAACGATTGTATTGTTCCTGGCATCTAGCATGGCTGCCGTCAGGTGATGGTGCAAAACCTCTATGCCGTTTCTTTCCTTGATTACAGAATCAATTTTATAAAATTAAAACAAAATAACCGTCTTTTTTTGAAGGTATATGACTCAACTGAAAGTACGTGCAACTGCAATGTCTTCTAACTTCTAAAGCATGCGGTACCGGCCAATCAGAACGCGAGATTTGTATCTATTTTAATTGTGAACGTTTGTGATATTCCCTAATTTTTTCAGATGCAGACTCCACTAAACAGACCAGACAACTACTTGGTTTGGTCCATTCTATCAGCTATTTTCTGCTGTCCTCTTTTTGGAATCATTGGCATAATCTACGCGGCACAGGTATAATCATAAAATAGAAAAAATAAGAAATCAATAATAAAAAATAAATGTATTACATAATTATTAATAAAAGAATAATTATTTATTTATTCACAAAAAATAACTAACTAATTGATTAATAATCAAATAATAATAATCCATTCATTTCATGAATTAATTTTATGAATTATAATAAATAATTTTTAGTAATCATTTCAGTATTATTGAGATTAAGAAATCAACTACAAACAAAGTTTTGAAAAACTACAATGAATTTTGTTTGAAATCATATATTTTTAAAACATTCCCCCTCATTTTTCCCATTATGTTGATTTTCATTCTCGTGCATCCATCCATCCATCCATCCATCCA